GAGGAGAAGAGGAAAGCCCAACAGAGGAGGAGGAAGAGGGAGAGGAGGAGGAGGAGGAGGCAAAGGAAGAGGAGGCAGTGGAAGAGGAGGAGGCAGCAGTGGCCATTCAAACAAGTCTCAACTTGGAAGTAGGAAATTTTCAACCAAAATTTGGGACGATGGAGATGATTTTTGTCTCTTTGAGGAATCAAGGCTGGAATCCAGGTATTTCTGTTAATTTGGTGAGAGGGGGGTTTGGCACAGAGATATTTGGGGTACTTTGGGGCTGGTTTTTGGACATCTCTGAATATACAGAATGGTGATGAAGCTGTCTCAGTATGAACCAGTTTTTACATGTCATTTGACTAACATTTTTAACACTCTACAGCTAGGCAAGATTTAAAAAAAAAAAAAAAGAGAATCACTGATTCTCTTCTTTGTTCATAAAGTAATTTCAGAATGTCTTTGATTAGAAAATACTAATAAACACGCGGTATTTATTTTAGTGAATCTAGTATCTTGAAAGTATTCCGACCAATCTAGCTTAGGAATGCATGGTTGTACTGCAGTCTGAGAGCAGCTTTACCTAGAAAAGTGTTTATTAAATCACTTTGCTTTTGACATAGGATAACACACATTTATGCCTGCGCATGTGCGCAGCTAGACACACAAATCCTGCTCGCGTAAGAACGAGCCCAATAATCCTCAGGTGATGGACTTGTCTTATTTTGGTTTTCCTGGTTTGAATTACAGGGTTGGGTCCTAACACATCCCAGTTCAGTCAAGATCATCTGAGCCAGGCAAATAAGTCATTGTTATGTTCTATTTTAATTTTTAGGTCTAATGTCAGAAGAGGAGGGCAAACGAAACAGAGACCTGAAGCGAGAATGCCTCTGCAGACCATACACATGACATCAGAGAATCAGAGAAGGGTGAAAGAACTTCTCCAAGAGCTTCAAGGGCAGGACCTGGCTCCCGAATCAGAGTTAGTTTAAATGGAGACACTGCCTCTCTCTCTTCTAGATGAGCATGTTTTAACAGGCACACTGTTAGAAAGGAAAACGGTATTCTTTTTTTCCCTTGACTTTTAGTTTGATCTCAAGTCTCGTGGGTTTAGGTCTGCTTTGCTCTCCTACAATATTATCTCTGGGAAAGAGGTAGTAGCATCCTCTGTTTAAATGGGGGATTCAAAACTGCAGAGTTTTTTGTCTACTCAACAGTATAATTTTGTTTTATTTTAATTTGATAACTCTTTATCAGAGTAGCTGGTTCTGGTGAAGACGACGACGAACCTGATTACCTTGACGATGAACAGTGCTGGTCAACAGATCATGAAGTTTCTGATGTAATACCGAGGTCATTTGCCAAACCACCTGAGCACAGAATTGTGGAAAGTGAAGTGTCTCCGTTTGCTGTGCACAAACTCTCCAGGTGATGCTTTTCGGTGAATTTGAAACTCTGTAATTTGTATCCCGAAGAGGTAGATCGCTGTTCATGATATTGAACTCCTGTAGTGCTTGGAGAAGAGAAGGCTCCGGGGAGACGTTATAGCACCTTCCAGTGCCTGCAGGGGCTACAAGGAAGCTGGGGGGGACTTTTTCCAAGGGCCTGTAGTGACAGGACAAGGGGTAACGGGGTTAAATTGAAAGTGGGGAGGTTTAGATTGGATATCAGGAAGAAGTTCTTCCCGGAGAGGGGGGTGAGGCACTGGCACAGGTTGCCCAGAGAAGCTGTGGATGCCCCATCCCTGGGAGTGTCCAAGGCCAGGCTGGATGAGGCTTTGAGCAACCTGGTCTAGTGGAAGGGGTCCCTGCCCATGGCAGGGGGTTGGAACTGGATGGTCTTTAAGGTCCCTTCCAAGCCAAACCCTTCTGTGATTCTGTGACTTCCTCTCAGCTCCAGGGAAGTTCTCTGTGCAGAACTGATGAGTTTGTATCTCCTACAAATTTAATCCTCACCTAGATTAATTTAAAATGATGGGTTTATGAAAATAAATCACTCCACAGAGTTTTTCAGTGAAGTTTTTAGTCCTTTCTCTAAGACAATGAAACAGATACTGGGAAAGCTCAGGGAGTATTGCTGTTAGGTGTATGTTTCTTCCAGGTGGGCAATGTTTCAAGACCTTATAAGTGCTCTTCATCCATTTTGCTCATATACAAGCATTTTTAACTATTTTTGCTTTGTTTGAGGGTGTTTTATTTGTGAGATGACTCAGCTTTTTTTGAAGAAGTTTAATTTATATAGTTCAACTGGGAAATCTAATCCTGTAACTATTATGGGCTACATTCTGTGGTGTGAGATAGTTGCCACATGAACTAGTTGTTCACCTTATAAACAACAGGCTGGTATTCACAGACACCAACTTACTGCCTGCCACTCTTTCGAAATAGCATGAATATTTTGGTCTGGGTTTTTTCACCCCAGTAGTATCTCATGCTATACACACGTCCTTACTGTAAGCCTAATCCAGTGGTTCTGTGGTTATTCTGGTTCCTACAAGTCTTTGTCGCTCAGTTGTTGCCATGTTGTCTCCGGTTTGTTGCAGGTATGGTTTTGACAGTGACCGTTGTAGGACAGTGCTGAGATCCTGCAACGGTAACATCGGGGCATCACTGGAGTATTTGCTGTCGCAGTGCTTTGCTGAACGATATGGAGAGAAGATGCAGGTTTCTGCAGCAGCTGCTGAGGCCAGTCAAGAAGAATGTTTAGAACAAAGACAAGAAGAGGCTTTTGCCCTCCGGTCAATCTATGGAGAAAAGTTTGTAGAAAGAATTCAAAACCGTGTTTGGACTTTCAGTTTGGAGTTGGAGTACCTAGCAAACAGCCTCAACAAATCTAAACAAAAGGGAGGTTGTCCTAGCGACACAGCAAAGCAGACTTCAAAGGAAATATGTAAATTTTATCTCCAAGGAGTCTGCAGGTTTGGTTCAAAATGCAAATTTGGACACGAATTCCCTCCAAACCACCCGCTAAAATCAGCCAGGAACTCTGTAGATGATGCTCGTCTCAGACCTAACAGCGATGGTCCCATATATGAACTTGAAGTCAGATTTCCTGAAGAAAACAAGTATCCACTCCAGGCACCTCTTGTGGCATTTTATTCCACCGATGAGAAACTACCTCTTGCTTGTTGTTTACACATCGCTGAATTCCTCTTTGGAAAGGCCTTGACAGCTGCAGAGTCTAGTGAACCAGTGGTGTACACCCTAGTGACTTGCCTAGAAGATGGATCTGAAATAAGCGAGTTACTTAAAAACACCCACCACAAGTACAGCGTTCCTGCTGTGCCCCTGCTCGCAACACCTTCGGTAAAGCTGCAGACAGAGAGCACATCTGGTTCTAATCGAGTGTCCGAAGGTAGGCCAGATTTCCCTTTCTGGTTTCTGGGCCGAGAACAGTCAAAAATATGAAAAATAAAAAGAGAAGGCAGAGAGCCCAGTTCAGGCATCTCTTCTAAATCTGTTTCTGGAGGTGAAGGTCAGGTGGTGAGCCAAATCCGTAATCAGTCTGGGCCGCAGGAAGTCCCTTCCGTAATAAGGCTGCAGCAGAAAGGTTTTCTGCTGGCAAGAACGGCGTTAAAGGAGCACAGAACTTGGGTTGGCAGAGCGCACGATACCTGTTCCCACACAGGCAGTAAGAAGCCTGTGAGAGATGTGGCGTGAGCTCACCAGAACTGACCAGAGAAGGGTGCTTGGAAGGGAAGGGGGAAGGTTGTTTGCACATTTTGGGGCATCTGCTGCTCATCAATTCAGAAACATCCTTAAAAAAATTAAGAAGCTATCAACACCTCCTTAAAATGAATTTTATAAAGGTGGATTTAAGGTTAAGTGAATGTTGCAAGCGGTTCAAGAATGCTGTTGAAGGTATCATCCCTCTTTCCGCATGCAAGCGGAACGAGGTTGATTTCCCAGGGAGAGTTGGGACTGTGGCACTTCTGACAGGGTGGCAGCAACTCTGTGGCACAGACAACCTTCAAGCTCAACATCCCAAACCTTTTATCTAAGGCAAACTTTCTCCAAGACGGTTGTCAGGAACTGCATCACATTCTAGAGCACCTAACTAGTGACAGCCTGGTGTTTTGCTAGAAGTAAACCAGATCATTCCAATTTTTTTAACAGCTCCACAGAAAGACAGCTTTGTTCCAGAAACTGAAATTAGAGATCCAAATAGGCTTCCTTATGTTATAAAATTAACTTTGTGTTATAAAATAGCTTGTTTAGATCATAGAATCACAGAAGGGTTTGGCTTGGAAAGGACCTTAAAAACCATCCAGTTCCAACCCCCCTGCCATGGGCAGGGACACCTTCCACTAGACCAGGTTGCTCAAAGCCTCATCCAGCCTGGCCTTGGACAAACACTTCCAGGGATGGGGCATCCACAGCTTCACTGGGCAACGTGCTCCAGTGCTAAATGTGGCCTTAAAACTTTCAAGGGCTGCCTCACTGTCTGAGCAAATCCCGCTTCAGTTGATAGGCAGTGGGCACCAAAGTACCTGGTTCAGTTTCAGCCTTGGCTTAAAAGTACTCGGCAAGGCTACACGCTTGGTGTTACAGCATCATTTTAATTCAAGCTGGTGCTGCTGTCACACTCCAGTGCTGCACGGAATTGGTGGTGTGGTGAACTGGGGAGGGGAGCCAAGACACATGGAAAACATTCAGGAAGGCAAGCCAGTCACCAGCCTGGCACACCGTGTGGCCTCCCAGGCCGTGCTGTTGCAGAGCACAGCTGGAGACAAGCGGTTGGAGCTGGAGCTGTGGTTTGTATGATGGGGTGAGGGGAGCTTTGCTGGTAGTGTTGAACTAAATGCATGTCAAGAACAGTCCTGCAGGCCCTCAGCTCCAGTCTAACAAAGTTCTTTGTTGTGAATGCTCCTGGAAGGTGTCTTTTCCGCAGTGCTGATGAGGTCCTGTTCCTTAGTAACAAGGACACCTAACTGTACATTCTCTGTCTCAAGCCTCAACAGTATCAGAGCCTCAGGAAGAAGAGGTGGTGGCAGAAGAGGAGGAGGATGAGCCAGAACAAGTTGTTGTGGAGAATGAGAGTTATGTGAACCTCAAGAAAAAGCTTTCCAGAAAGTACGACACACAGGCAAAGTCTCTGTATAATGAAAATGTTAAAATCTGCACACAGTTTCGGCTGAAAAAGGTACAGTGTACAGAACAGAACATCTGTTTTTGTGCTTAATTTAGAGAAATGAATATTTAAGCCACAGGCTGCTGTTTCAAATGGTTCTGTCTCGCTCCAGTGGTGTTGTTACCACCAATCTGTCTTGTTTTTGTGCATCAGTCTTCTAGGCACTTCCAGTCCATGTTGTATGAAAGACAGAAGCTCCCTGCCTGGCAAGAGAGAGAAACCATTCTCGATTTGCTGAAGAGCCACCAAGTCCTTGTTGTGAGTGGCATGACTGGGTAAGAGTGTGACTGCACATACAGTCTTTATGTAGCAAAGTGCACAGAGAAGAATGTGAAATAGGTATCCACGTACTGGAGAGGTAAGGGTCACGGTCCCTCTGTGACCAGTGACAGCAGCCCTGGATGAACTTCGTGGGAAGGATGACACTAAGGAAACAAAGCAGATTTCCAGTGGAGTGCAGTCATTTTCATTTGCATGGGTGGAAGGTGTTGCGTTTGTGGGGAGTTTTGTTGGTTCGTTTTTTAATTAATCCCTGATTTTGTTGTGCAGGTGTGGAAAAACCACTCAGATTCCTCAGTTTATTTTGGATGCTTCGTTGCAAGGATCTCCAAGCAGCGTTGCAAACATCATCTGCACTCAGCCTCGCAGGATCTCTGCCATTTCTGTGGCTGAACGCGTAGCCAAAGAACGAGCAGAAAGGATTGGACTCACTGTTGGATATCAGATCCGTCTAGAAAGCGTAAAGGTACGTATGCTTTGCTTGTTGGTTTTTGTTGAGGCCTGTTAAACGTGCTTAGTGCTTTTCTAGCATGCAGACCCTCTGCCCTGTATCTGCTGTGCAGTGAGATTGAAGGGTAGCGCTTCAGTCAGCCAGAAAGGGGGTTGAATTCAAACTGCTGTCTTGGAAGTGAAATTTCTTCTACATTGCAGCTGATTTGCTTTTTCCAAGAACTATGTTGAAAAAGAGATTCACTCTTCCTAGGGACAGCGATTTGTTTATCAGAAAGCAATTTCCATAGGCAAAAGTTCAGATTTTTTGTTTACCCCTTGGTGAGAAGCAGATGCTCCTAAGAAAGAAAGAAAAATCATTCAGCCCATCTTCAGCAGGGGTTGCTGGTTTACTTTGTGTCAAACCTGGCACTCAGCTGAAACCAAATGCTTTACAGCAGCACATACTGAGACCCCACCTGGAGTGCTGCATCCAGCTGTGGAGCCCCCAACATCAGAAGGATATAGACTGGTTGGAGTGAGTCCAGAGGAGGCCACGAAGATGATCAGAGGGCTGGAGCCCCTCTGCCATGGGGACAGGCTGAGAGACTTGGGCTTGTTCAGCCTGGAGAAGAGAAGGCTCCGGGGAGACCTTATAGCACCTTCCAGTACCTGAAGGGGCTACAAGGAAGCTGGGGGGGACTTTTTACAAGGGCCTGTAGTGACAGGACAAGGGGTAACGGGTTTAAATTGAAAGTGGGGAGGTTTAGATTGGATATCAGGAAGAAGTTCTTCCCGGAGAGGGTGGGGAGGCACTGGCACAGGTTGCCCAGAGAAGCTGTGGATGCCCCATCCCTGGAAGTGTTCAAGGCCAGGCTGGATGAGGCTTGGAGCAACCTGGTCTAGTGGAAGGTGTCCCTGCCCATGGCAGGGGGGCTGGAACTGGATGGTCTTTAAGGTCCCTTCCAACCCAAACCAGTCTGTGATTCTTGATTCTCGTTGCACTGTGTGAAGTTGCACAAAGCCAACTGAAAGCTTTGTCTTACCGTTCCAGTCCTCAGCTACCAGACTCCTGTACTGCACTACTGGTGTGCTGTTGAGAAGGCTGGAAGGAGATCTGACTCTGCAGGGAATCACACATGTGATAGTGGATGAAGTACACGAAAGAACAGAAGAAAGGTAAATAATCAATCTCCTGTCCCTTAGGCAAAATGAAGAAACGTAGTCGGAAGGGTAAAGGTGACTGAGGTGCAAGTAACTGACGTCACACTTGCTGGTCCTGTGGCAGTAACGTGGGATGGTGGAAGGAGTCTGGGTTTAGGTTCTTGTCTTTGGGCAGTAGGAGGTTGTGTTGCAGCAGCTTGCAAAACATGTCCCTCTTAAATTTCTGTGCCTCCAATCTGCCGTCACATTGCTGTGGTGTTGAAAAGAGGGTTTTTGGTTGGGGCTGGAAGGTTAAGTAACTTTTTAACCACAGTTGTCTGGTTCTTATTCTTCCCTTGCTTCAGCTTGTACCAAATACCATAATTCTTCACATGCCATTTTGGAAATTATTCCTCCTGATGCAGGCTTCAGCAGAGTACCTGCAAGGGACAAGTGCTTATGTTTTTTTCCATAGATTTTACTAGTTCTAGATAGTCTCATCCTATCCTGCTCCTTGTCAGGCAAAAGATAATGTCTGTCGGTGTCTCTGTAAACTGTGTGGCAAGGATCCTGTTCTTTGGTGTTTTCCTTGTGAAACACGGCAGTGCGGTGGGTTTCCAGGAGGCTTTGGCTGTGACCCGTCATGCTACAGTTCAGTTTATATTTTAGCCTCATAAAGGGCTGGTATCTCTCAAG